CCACCACCACCACCACACCAAGGCGCCCGGTATATTAAAAGAAAATCCACCAATTAAGATAACCAATCAACTGGCGTAAATCATCATATTGGACATAAAATGTTGCACGCCAATTATTATTATTTATTTATTTATTTATGGACGATGATGAGGGAATGCTTGTTGAGGAACAAACTGAAGTCACTGTCAAGAAAATCGCTAATTACAATAGTATCTAACTAATTCCAGGTTGCCAAGGATTTGCATTAGGAGAGTTGCTGCTGGTCGATGGTATATGCCATGCTACCTTGCAAATGCGCAAGTCGCTGCTGTCCAGGTGGTACGTACTTTATAAGGTATGGGCTTTGGCCGAAACATCCCCAGTAGCCATAAGAACTCTATTTTTCATCCATGATCATGTCCCGTACTGTATTGCAGAAAGTCATTTCTGCAAGGAGAAGAATGGCCCAATAATTTGTGGTAAAATTGGTACGACCATTTGGATTTGAAGATTTTACTTTTCTGCAATTTCTGTGTTTGGAATCCTTGGGTATGCATGACACAGCAAAGTTTTCAAACTGGAGAAAGGTGAAGACAGCTTTACATTTTTTGAGAACCACCAGCACATTGATGTTTTACAATACATGGAATGTATCGATGCAATTCAGGAATTAGTGTATTGAGCATCAGAGTTTGCTTCTGGTTTGATGACTAGAGCACATTCGACCTGTATCTACTATCTACTATGGATGAACAGATTATCCCAGCCACTCAGATTCTTCTATTGCCAAAGCACTGTTTGAAAATTTCTATAATATCCAACACCTACAATGGTGATCCAAGGAGCAATCAAGGTGGTTATGAATAAGACGGCGCTTTCATTTCCAGTCAAAGAAAAGAAATCTCTTTCTCCTTGGCTGTGAAACTATGATACGCTTTCTACGTGTCATTGCAGATGTAGGTTGTACAATCATTCAATTCATTCCGGATATGGACAATGACTTCTAAAGCAGTGAATATGTCGTGAGCGCATCCTTCATTTCATGTACTTTATGCAACGCATAACCTAGATTGTAACTTTTATAGTGTTCTGTACTGTTCTCTTACCAAGCTATCGTGTTATCCATGAGCAAACTGTCGAGAATTTATCTTCTTTGATCGATATCCATGTTTATGTTAATACAGATTGTTTGACGATGCATAATTAACAAAATATCTCTTTGCTTACTCTAAATATACGACAAGTATATGAACATATAATAAGTTCGGCTCCTGATAGACACATTACTGTCTCCTTATAATTTCAGAATCGCCATTGAAATCGATACTAACAGATTCTTCAAAGAAAAGGAAAAGCAGGAAAGAGAAAAGGGTTATGTGCAATCATTTAACATCTCAATTCTAACAGCCAAAGAACATTTGATGTATAAAACAGAAAAATTTCATTCCTCAAAAAAATTCAATAATCAATGGTAAACACATTTTGCCTTTCGGAATTGAGTAATGCATGATGAAAAATCATCGACAATGTGACAATCCATTATTCTTCACATTTCTCTCTCTCCCCTCCCCCTCTCGTATAAATTGAATTGTTCAATCTCATTATTTCATATAGATTGCTACATAATCGATAATTTGTCATCATGATGATAAATGGCATTATTCTTTGGAATTACCACTGAATTTCTCTCTTCAGGTTATTTGGCTCTCATCTGTTGAAGAATAATCGTCATGTTTTCTGCTATTCCAAACTCCACAGGCATTTCACTTGAAATTGTAAAAATAGTGCATTATAACATTTGCAGTTCTTCCATTTGTAGTAATCCTTAGCAATTAGCTGCTACACAGAAGACAATTGTTTCCTTGCTTGTTGCTGAATTAGCCTCCCACTGCACAAAGTTATCATGGAAAAAGACGAGTATCTGGGCTTATATAGATGGGATATTATGAGGCGACTGAGGTGAGCCGGGTTCAAGTAGGAAGCTTCGACTGCAATATGACCTAGATGTACTTGAAGAAGAAGCTAGACCCCGTACATCCCCACTGAAAAATATACCTTCGCCTCTCTTTGTGTTACCTCTGCTTGTCCTTATTCTACCTTCAGTTTCTCCATATTCTTCATCTTCCACAGCTTCAACAAAAGCACTGTGCATTACGTCAGTACTCTCATACAAAAGTCTGAGGACTTGCTTAATTGATGGTCTTGCCCTCCCTTCTTTCTGAGTGCACCATCTCATGATTTCCACAATTGTTTGAAGTTGATCGAAGTCAAAAGCATCCCCGAGATTGGGATCCACAAGCTCAGTTATTCTCAACTCTGAAGTCAAAAATGGTTGAGACCACTCTACCAAGTTTTTGTTGTTTTGTATTGCTCGTCTAGCAGTAACTAGCTCTAATAACACAACTCCATAACTATATATGTCACTTTTCTCTGAGAGCTCTCGAGTAACCACATATTCCGGATCCATATAACCTGACAATCATTTAATGCTTTGTTATCTCTGGATAAGGCATAAAAGCTAAGTATTGAGAAAGAAGATTTTGTCCGACCTGATAATCATTTAGGGCGCATTTGGTACGCAATATTAGACTGAACTTGATATTACAATACACAATATTTAACATCTTTTTCTTACGTCTGGCTAAGTTGAAAAAGAACTATAGTTACTTGAAAGTTACTCTCAAGTGTCAAAATAAGTAACGTATTATTTCAACTTTAATCACTAAAAAAGTTATTTCTTTTTTAAACTAACTTATTTACTTATAAGTGAACTTTTTATTCTTAGTCAAACATGCCGTTAAGGTTGTCAGGTACAGGAAAATCCACTTTACCAAACCAACCATTAATGTTTTCGTATATCTGGATAAGCTATAAAGTTGGAGTTTATAATCACAGAGGATTTTGTTTAACCTGGAGTTCCCCGGATATCAGTGTTTACAGGTTCAAAGCAAACAGAGCCATCTTTCGAAGCATGAGCAAGGCCAAAATCAGCAACCTAGAAGAGCGGCAAAATACAATGAGTCCTTTTCCACAGTTCGTGTCAAAACAGGGACATGTCAGTTCATTAATCATATTTGATTTTTTAACTTTGACATTTAACTAAATCCAAGATATGCAAATTGCCTGTGAGAAATGGACCAGAAAGATCCATCTTTTTACCATGCTACCAATCAAGTTAAAAAGACAAGTTCAGCACAACGGTTAACTTATTAAATCGATTGTGTTCTATGACACTGAGTGTTGGATCACGTGATAAATGTAACAGAAATCACGATGTTTAAGGTGGATATGCAGCCATATGAGAATTGAATGACGCTTCTTCAGGACAAAAAATTAAGGGAACAAGAATTTAGGTGGCTAGGACATTATTTAGCATCGACCTAAAGAAGTTTTCATCACAAGAGCTATGCAATCCTAGTAGAGTAGGGTTTTTTCTTTTAGGAGCCAAGGGAGTAGTAAACCAAAAGGATTTCATCGGACATTCATGTTGCATTGAACAAAGTGGGGAAAACATATTCAAATAGTCCGCAAATTAATGAAAATGAAATTTAGCTTCTTGTTGTACCATCTCACTGGTCCACAAAAAAGGAAAAGAAAAAAGACAATATTCATAACCACGCAGTTAAATTTACATACCAAGTCGACTATTTGAGTGCATTACCTTTGCAACAAAATTCTCATCTAGTAATATATTGCTGGACTTAATATCTCTATGACACAGAGGAGGATTACAATAGAAGTGAAGGTACTCCTGCGTGCAGAAATGTCATCAGGAATAAGTATAGAAGTTTTTGAAATTGCATTAATAAGTGATTTTTGTTTATTAGCTTTATTTAAGAATTTACCAATGCATTTGCCACATCAATGGCAATCTGAATTCTTGTTCGCCAACTCAGAGGAGTTCTACCTGGGGCTGAATTCAAGCATTTGGAAATTCAGAAAAAACGCTGATGAATTATTTTTGAACTTTTCTAACAAGCCAGATACCAGAATAAGGTGAAAAGGGACAAAGACGTACTCAGAAGATGATCCTTTAAGCTTCCATTTTCCATATATTCATACACGAGAAATCTGCCGTAAAAAAGTTCCTTTAGGTTTATCCAGCGTGCAAAAGTTCAGGTGCACGTGTTTTTCTGATGTAGGAAGGGCAAAATAAATAAGGGAACAAAAATGTGATGACCTCTCATGTCTTTTGATGCAGAAGCCCCTCAGAGAAACAAGATGGCGATGATGTAGTCGAGCAAGGAGTTCGATTTCCCGGCGAAACTCGTCCTCTGCCTGCTCTGACACTATGTTCATCCGCTTCACGGCTACCACTGAACCATCATGAAACTTCGCTTTATACACAGTACCAAATCCTCCTTGTCCAATGATGGTGTTGAAGTTTTCTGTAGCTTTCTTTGTATCTTTGTAGCTGAATTTTCTGAACATAGAGGATGGACATTCATGTAATTCATATTTCCATCCTACAACAATTGGGAAATACAACATCTAATGTAGTTATCACTTCATATTATCAAAGATTTAAAAAACTGAAGAAAGAAAAACCGGAATCAGAATGTACCATCCTGATATTTTCTTGCCACACGAGGAATGGATTTCGAGGATGTCTTATCATCTGTATCAGAATCAAGCTCTTGGCTTTTCTTGCGGATAAGAATAATCAAGACTACCAGGATCACCACAGCCAATGCTGTAACTGAGATGCCAACGCTAGGAACTAATGTGAGATGGTAGTTATAATTATTCCTCTTTGAGCTTGAGGAAAGTTGAGCCGGACTAAGAGTAATCAGCGGGGTGGAAGACGCCTGAGGTGGAGGTGAAGATGGGAATGAACCTGAAACAAGTAGATACGATAGCAACAGAAAATGAACGGTTCAGAAAATTACTGTATTATATTAAAAAAATCTAAGCAATATTTAATATGTTTATTGCATAAATGGATAGGCGTAAACACAAAAATATGTCAAAGACCCTTTAGAAAGCAGTTATTAAGGTCATAAATTCACATTTCAGAATGAATGGGAAGTAGCTGAATAACTAACAATATTCATTAACTCTTGTATTTGTTGGAATCCTCAACAGGATCTGGAATAGTTGCCATGGAACACCATACAATATAAGAGGATGATGATGGGGAGTTATTACAAAATCTTCATCAACCAGATATGTATTAGCATCATATTTCTGATGAATATGTCCCTTAGAGAAAAACTTAACAAGGGACATCGAATAAATTTCCTCTGGTGAAACCAAAGGAATTTGATGATAGAATTAGGCAGAAAATACTTAATAAATGTGAAAGAATAAACTGATTTACGATTCACATGTAGTATGCTAGAAGAAATAGCTAAATAATCAAATTGATATTTTTCTATACCTGGAGGAAGACTAAGCCCTTGAACCCCAAAGAAACAACTTGCAATGCCAATAGTCGATGCGTAATCGACTTGACTTGCAAGTGCAGCAAAAGTTGCATCTCTGCAAGTACTCAATGTCATATTATCTGTTGGCCCCAACAGATTATGGAGATAAACGATACCAGCATTCAAGCACTTTTTACAAGTACTGTTCTCCAACAGTGGTGCTTTGCAATTTACAGTAACATCACTAAAGTTTGGAGACTGCAGCATCTGGTTAACTGTTGAACGACCCTGGCATTCATAATTTACCAGTATTTTTGTCCCAAAGCCACAGAAAACGGATGCATTTCTTGTTAATCCATATAGTTGGAAAGTTTCTGATATTGTACGAAGGCAAACATCAGATAAGTTTGAAGTAACCCCCAAGTTACTCGTTGCATTTGTGTACCTTGAGACAGAAATAGCGACCAAGGCATTAAGATGTCGGCAACACTTTCCTCTATCTTCTCCACTGGAACATTTGGAGGCAGCCAGAGTAAAATTAGACCTACTCATATCCAACGGGCAATCTGAAAATATTAAAGAATAAACAAAATAAAATATGATTACCTCACAATTGTAGTTTGTTAAGCATTATAAAAAGTAAGTTTCATTCTCATCAGGTGAAGTCATGTATGAGTGATAACTTAAGAGACATGAATACTTATTGTGGTTTCATTCATAAAGAGGTTATTGTGTTGAAGGAGCTAATTACTGGCACTACCTTGATTATCCCTTGATCTCAATCTAACCATGCAAGTCTACAAATTTACATTTTCGTCAAGCTCTGCCCGCCAAATTACAACAGTACCAACCTCAAGATTCACCACCTCGTTAAATTAGCTTAAATGTTATCAGTCCAATATCCTTAAAGTAATTGCAAAACGTAATCTACGACTCTATCTAGATGCCCCATAAAACTGAAAATAATAGAAAAGGAAAAAAAAACAAGTGTACAGTTTTCAATTCACAAACAAAACCTCATCTCAATAAACCTAGTTCTCACAAGAACAACTCCCCCAACATTTCAAAAAGCATAATAATGCCATGTTAAAAACAAAATACAAAAATCAAGCATCAGAACAAAGCATACTTAGTAATGAAGGAGCAAAACTAAAAAGGCTTTTACCAGAAGCAGCCATTGTTAAAGAAAGAAGCATTTGAAGAAAGACGAGTAATAGTAGACAGCCAGGAAACACCGCTGGTCCGTACAATGCCATAGACAGGATTCAGGAGGTAATAGGAGAATGACGCTGGTCCCAGAAAGTTAGTGATTGAGAGACTACGGTGGAGCCGAGAGAGTGCACACTGGCGTCTTTTAGCGCATTCCGCGTCTGGAGCTAGGCGAGTGCACAGTCCACTTCTTTCAAGAGGAGTCCGTCCGTCCGGTTGTGAAAGCAAAGTGAGTGCAGCTTTGGAGTCCTCAAAGGCCCACTGCCTTCAATTTATTTTCACAAATACAAAGTTACTTTTTTTTAAAGTAGCTTTTAAGTATGCTCCGTTTCGTAGTAACAAGTCATGTTTGGTTTAGTTAAAAGTAACGATAAAAAAATTGAGTTTAAAAAGTCATAAAAATAATTATGTTATGTAGTTGAAAATAAATTTTGAAAAATTAATGCCAAACAAGCCCTAAATATATTATAAAAATAATACAACTTTTTGGTATCCTCTAAAAATTCAAAAAAAGGCCCGTGAAAAAGCAAGAGGAGGCTTATCAGTTTTGGATAAGTGCCAGGCACCTGACCGGTGACCACATTCCCAATCCCACTTTGATTCTTGACGACGTGGGCTCCATCAGATTCTCTCTGGATAATTCCACTTGTACATTATGTCATCCATTATGAATGCCATAATGTACAAGTAGAATTATCCTTAAATATATTAAGGTCACAGTTCCATATAATTTGGTCACAGATTCTATATAATTGGTCACATAGTATTAATTTCTCACAAATTACAAATTTTACATGTCACAAATTATTTTATAATCACGATTCAAAAATTTTATAAGTCACAATTTGTTTATCGGTCACAAATAAAAAATTGAAGCACCACAAATTATTTTACGGTCACAATTCAAAAATTTTATCTGTCACAATTTGTTCATTGGCCACAAATCAAAAAAATTATAAGTCACAAATTATTTTACGGTCACAAATCAAATAATTTATAGGTAACAATTCAGAAATTTTATAAGTCTCAATTTGGTCATCAGTCACAAATAAAAAATTTATACGTCACAACTTATTCATCGGTTACAAATCACAAATATTATAAGTCACAATTCAGTAGACAGTCACAAATGTCAAATTATCGGTCACAAATTAACAATTTTTTAGGTCACACATTATTTCTTGATCACAATTTATTCGTCACGACTTATTCACCGGTCACAAATCACAAATATTATAAGTCACAACTTATTAGACAGTCACAAATTGTCAAATTATCGATCACAAATTAACAATTTTTTAGGTCACACATTATTTCTTGATCACAATTTATATTTTTCAGTGGTCACCTATTGTTTATCGGTCAAAAATTAATGAATTTAATGGTCACAAATGACCAAATAATTTGTGACTACAACCAACACTTATGACCACCACCTCACCACTCCCATCAGCACCACCACCGTCGACGCCATAACCATCGTCGTCACCACCATCTCTCGATAGTAACACCATCCCAAACAAATCAACACACTGCCACACCATCTCACATAGCACTCCGCACCTACATCACATATCACTGCACCACTGCACATAGTATTGCACCCAACCACAACATCGTACACGGCATTTCATCCACAGCACACATCACCATTATCGTACCCACACAACACCAAAATCGCTGCCAGAGATCTGCAGCTCCAACCTCAATCAACAACACAATCGACCAATTAGCCTTAGCCTCTCTATCTACAAAGTTCCCTACCTGCCGACTCAAAACTATGATCAACAACATCAATTCCCACTGCCAATTGAAACATCCAACATCTTGACCGGCCGATCAAAACATCCAACATTAGTATTTAGATTTGGGATCATGTCGACTGTGGCACAGCAACATCATCGCAACGATGGAAACCATCACTAATATTGGTGTTGTCGAGTAACCTCACCAAATCCAACCACCACCATCCACATCACCAAAACCACAGCTGTTAGAACAACCACTGCCTTGTCCGATCTAATTAACGCCACCGCAAACTTGTCTTCTCTAGTACCATACATCACCACTACCACACATCACCAACAGAGCCACCGCGAACACCAACACCGATAGCTGCTGTGTACGGCGAACTGAAGCGAGAAGGAAGAAGAAAGGAGAGTGAGAAGAGAGAGTGACGGGGACAGAGATAGAGAAAGGGAAAATTGGAAAACTGATTAGATTAGGATTTGGATGAATATTGTATAATTAATTTAAAAATAAAATATTTGATTTTTGAAAGTTGAAACTTTTAATCTAATTTTTGAAATTGAATCTTTTAAATTCTGGTTTGGTGTAATTTCCTCAAAAAAAAAAAAACTCACCCCCTGCATTTGTGAGTATCTGTGAAACCAACCATCCCCTCCCCCCTCTGTAAGTGTAGCATAGTTCGAAAGAAAACACATAAAAATTGTACCTTTTATTTCGACAACAAATTGGTAAATACTCCGAATCCTAAAAATCTAGGTGAAAATGATGAACTTAGAAGATAGGTTTTGGGACTTTAGTTATCTGTTTTTTCTTTTTTCTTTTTTAATGTGAGATGAATAGTATGAATCTGATAATTGATATGGCCTATGGGATAATGGGCTATTAAATTTTGTTTCCTTTACATTTCTTAATGGGCCGATTGTTTTTTTAAAGCCCAACTAAAGAAAAAGAGAAAATCACACTAAACCAGGTGTTAAGTTATGGCTTTTAAAAAATCGGGTTAGGACGTTTTTTTATCACTTTTCAGGCATTTTATTTTAAATATCAAACTATAAATATATCCAAACCCTAATTCATTTTCAACCTTATTTTCTCTCACTACTGCCCCCGCTCTCTCTCCATCCTTTCCTCCGCTCTCTCTCTGTCCGAAGTCTGCCGGAAAGAAGGCGTCGCCACCGAAGTCTGCACAACCCATATTCTATCCGTCTTCCTCACTCTCTCTTTCTACCTACCCTCAACGGCGACGCATTCTTCTCCCTCTCTGTCGGCAACCTAACAAACGGCGATTTCGCGATTTCCCAATCTCCTCCATCTCTGCCCGCAACCCAACAGAAAGCGATTTCTCACTCTCTTCCTTCTCTGCCTGTACTCTCCTCCCTCTCTACCCACCGTCACGATTTCGCACCTCCATAGACGGAGCTGTGAACGCTGTTGACAGTGGCTGTGCTTGATTTTTTTTTATTTTTTTTTTATCGTTGGTGGTTTGCTTGGTTGCGTAGTGGATCTGGCGGTTTAGGGTGGGTTTTATTGAATTTGGCGGTGGTAGGCAGGCATGGGGCGGTTTTGTGGAACAGTGGAGGTGATGGTTATTGGAGGTCACGGTGAGTTGGTGTGGGCAACTGTGGCTGTGGCCGTGGCTCCGGCGTGGGTTTAGATCTGGTTATGGGTGACTGATTTGTTGCTGAAAATGGTGGTGGATAGAGATTTGGTGGCTGTTCTGTGGAGNGTGGTGTCGGTAGCAGGGATGCGACGAAGAATGTCTGTGACCAACTAGTTGATCAATCTGTGACCAATGTTGGTGGTGGGTTTGGATCGGAAGACGGTGTGTTTAGGTGTGTGACCAACTATATGGTTCTCTATGACTTTAAAATTGATAATTTGTAACTAAAAAATGAATTTGTGACCAACAAATCTAAAAATACGTGACATGTGATATATAATTTTTTTTGATCTGTGACCTATAAAATTTTTGATGCGTGACCTCGAAATAATCCGTGACTTACAAAAATTTTGATCTGTGACCGATGAAAAAATCGTGACCTACAAAATTTTTGATCTGTGACCTCGAAATAATAATCCGTGACTTACAAAATTTTTGATCTGTGACCGGAGAATAGTCGTCGGAGTGATCGCCGGGGCAGTTGCCGAAGCAGAGGTGGAGGGATGGTGAGGTGGCATGGGGTGAGTTAATTATATTATATTACAGTTAAATATTTAATTTAATATAATAACTAAGAAATATAATTAATTAATTCATTCATGAAAAACTTGATTTTTGCAATTTTAAATTTTGGGATCTGATTTTTGATTTTGGGATACATAAAGCCTGAATTTTGAATTTTTCCCAAAGAAAAATCTGAAAAAAGGGCCCAAGAACACTATCTTCTTTCCCGTTTTGCTTCTTCCCTGCAACTTCACTGTGTCTGCAACTGAGCTCGGGCAGCCACGCAAGTAAATTTCGACGAATTCAACCTGGGGCAGTTGCGCTCACTCGTCGGGTGCTGGATCCACCACTAGCTATCTCCATAACTACATAATAGATACATTCACTAATATACAAAGATACAAGAAATTATAAAATGAGCATCCCCAATATATTTGAGTTTAAACTACAGCATAAAAAAATATATGAAACTTTATCTTTCAATGCTTTAGTGTTTAGACTCCAAAGAGACGATAAAATCACAAATAACCAGTTTAGTGCCACTTTCATAGGGCACCTTTTTTCTTTAAGAATATGAAATGTTGGTGCACAATTAACGAAGGTGAAAAAAAATATGCAATGTACGGTATATCCTTCATTACTTCATAAGCCCTAACAAGTTGTGTTTCAGTGTGTTTCGATTCTTTATACTAAAATTAGGAACTGGATAAAACCCATTCAATTCTCGTCTTTAATAACTAGACCAGTCCAATTATGGGTGGAATCGTACTGGACCAACTGACTTTGTTCAATTCTTGTTAGGTCAGTATTGATGTTCTCATGTAATATTTTGGTCTCAAACCATGCTAGAGTTATGCAGACTCCAAAATTAGTTCAAACTATAAATATTTAGGATTAATTTACTTGTACATATCCTCTAAACTTTGGATTACACTCCCTTATGTGTAAAAAATCGTCGTACATTGGAAAATGTATTTTAAAATCAAAGCACCAAAATTTGTCAATTCACCAAAATGTAAACCAATATATCAACATTTATGTGGATGCAGCATGATCCATAATACACACAAACAGGGGCGGAGCCAGCTTGTCGAAATAGGGGTGTCCCAGAGTTGAAGGGGAAGGGGCCACGTCGCCCCCGAATTTATTTTTTTTTTGAAACATTATCTCTTAAAATGAATGTGCCCCCCATAACATTTTTTTTCGACACATTTTTATATGTCCCCATAACATAATTTGAGTTGTTGCTAATACTTACAACTAAATTAGATAGAACTAAAGAAGAATAGAAAGAGGCAGCAGTGCAACTGTCATAAATATCTGTTTACTAAAATATCTGTACGAATGCTTCAAGAAAATAAAAAAATCTGTAAAACATGTTTTCTTGATGTGAGAAGAGTTCGAGAGATCACTACATAACTAAAAGATCTTTACTGAGCTTCATTGGTGTTACAGGTTGCCTATAATTTCACAAGCAATACTATTTTACAGCTACAAAAATGAATATTCGTTCAATCATGTGGATTGTATCACGTTTGAGGAGAGCAAAGGTTTTTTGAGTTGCTATACAAAATATTACACATATTCAGAGAATGAAATGTAGTGACTGATTACATTGCAAATGGAGACACTATCTCCATTATTAATGGCACAGGTTCCTTATACTCATGTTTACCATTTCATTCTCTATCCCATTCATTTTGTGTTTCGGACCCTCCCTCTGCCCCTGCACACAAAGCCCAAGAACACCACACCGTTGGATAAAACTCGATTCAGGTTGACGCAAATTGTTTCTGTACCCAAATAAATTGATGTTCATAGAATTGAAATTGAAATCATAATAAATTTGTTTGCATATCCAAAAAAGTTGATTAGTGTTGAGTAAAAGGCTACACAATATAACACACAAATTATCCACGAATAATAAATAATCTTTTTATCTCGTGTTTGTGTAATTAAATAGGTAGAATAGAAAACTTATAATTGGCTCGAAGGAAATTACACATACAAACCTAACAATAACCAAGAAATCAAAACATCAAATTGAACTCAGTAAATTGAAGCTAACATTCTTCTCTAGTTCAATTAGAGGAGACAATCAACATCTAATTCCGTCACAATTATAACGGATAACATGACTATCAACAATTTACCCAAAAATTAAGAAGATCGAGAAGTCCAAGTTTTTTCTCTCTCGGTTGATTACATCATCACCAAACGTCGGTGCTTTGGCTGCGCTCATCTACTGCATTGGCGTACACGAACCAACAATTAATATCTATCTCTACAATCTCAAACAATAGTTGTAGTACCGACCAACACATGAAGTCTCATTTCTTCATAAGTTTGTCTCGATAATCAACTATGCTTACTCAAAGGAGTAAACACATATCACAAGTTCATATCGAACAAATAAACTTACTAGAGAACCTCCTAAGTATGGCTGAGTAAACGTTCGCTTTGAGCTAAGTTCAGATAAAAGTTTTTGATTGGTCATTTGTATTGAATATCATCTAATGGTGTCTTGACAAAATAAAAATTATCGACCTTGGTCAATTCTTAATCTACCAACACGGAACATCCTTTGCTAGAACAAAGTCTTTGCAAATAAAAAATGATTAATTACTTGGTAATTCCATACTAAATTAAGCTTATAATACAGATAGGGAAATTATGTGCATAGAGGATTTATCAGATGAATCACTTTCATCTGTCTTCCTTGAAATTTTCATCAGCATAATCAGGCACTAACCCATCTCATTATCTCTCCTGCAGCTTTCTTGTAGATTTCTTCCACTGGGAAATGCTCAGATAGTCCATTTGCCTAGCACAAAAATAAGTAATTAAGAAGCAGAAATGAATAATTAATTAATGGAAAATGTTCTTGAAATACATTAATTATTAACTCTAAGAATGTACAAAATTCAAATCAAAACAGCTTACTTTTATCTTCTTCTTAAATGAAAAATGCAAGTATGAATATTTTCTGTGAGTTTTTATCATATAAGCAATTCAATGGTAATGGCACGGGAAATTTGTTGAAGTATATATCAAGATTGGATAAATTTGTGTATTTAATACGTCTTCAACATGACTCCTCACTTGCGGATGAGTCCGTTTGTTGAGACATGAACTCAACATATCTTGTCTTCTCTTCGATGCACATATCATGTGTTGCTTGAAACCTAACCATGGTTAAATAGAGCTTAATCGCTATTTTCTTAATCACCAGCTATAGTCAGCCAACAAGCTTCACCAGACTTGCGTTTTCCACTAATGAACAAAAACCCTAGTTCTGAAACCACCAAAAAGGGTCATAAAATTCACACACAGTGTGTGTTCTATGTGTGTTGAGGGATATTAAAACGATGGACTTACATGGGCGTGAATCATGTACATACTTCTGCATTGATTAGACGAAACTTGGGCTGAAACCACTTGCAATCTGTACTTCTCCAAAACATAGCAAATGGCAGTGAACAGCCCTGGTTTTTTGGCAGCACAAATGCTGATATGAGCATCGTCACCAAATGTGTTTAGGACAACATTTGCAGAAGTATATGTCCGAAAATTGGTTGTGTTTGGAAATTTAGGAACCGGAGGAATAGCAATAGCAGTCGAGGTACTTGCACCTTGCTCGGCTAAAAATGCCTCCCTTGATTCCATTGCCAGTTTCGGGGCGAAAATGAACGGGTCAAAACCGGTGGAAGTCCTCCCATGGATCCTGTCAAGTTTCATTTTCTGTAGTTTCTCGAGTGTTTCCTGCAGTGATCTGATGTAGGTCACTGCTTCATCAACAATGGTGGACTTGTCAGCCTGCATATATTTCAAGGGATAAAATGTAATTGATTAATCACAAATGTATCCTTACTAGAGATGAATTATTTATGGGACATGGACTAAAAATTAACCAAAAATAAGTGTTTTTTGTAATTAAATCAGAAAAATAACTACAATTTACTAGTTCCATCATGTTGCAATTAAGATTAAAATTTAAAATGGTATCTTAAGTGTAATCGAGAAACATAAAGAGTACTTTAAAGGGGAAAAATCATAGAAATCTTTACATATGTACAGTTATAAGTATGACAGCATACTTAAAATTTATAAAAGAAAAGCTCAAAATCTTTATAGAAGAAATCTAAAGTTGGATTCTTGATTTTAACAAATAATCAGGTTTGATCTGAAAATTGCTTGAATCAGAAGATTTTTTTTTTGAAACCTACTGTATATAGAGACAAGCCAAGAAACCATAGTCAGTAAAGGAAGGAATATTAAAACTGAAAAGTGTCCTCTTGTTAAGTTTTCAGGGACAGAAAAGCTACTTTTTCAGAGAAAGAAAAGATAATTTTTCTGCAAATCTCTCTCTCTCTCTCTCTCCAGACACACAGATATATGTGTGTGTTTGTAACTTTGTATATGGGATACCCTAGCTTCAACAATGACACCACATATACATACATATATATATGAACTTTTTCTCTATTTGGAAAATTTAATGAACTTACCTTAGCAGGAATTTGAGGTAGCAAAGAATGGAGGCAGTCAAACATGTCCCTCATCTTCTTCCTCCTCTCTCTCTCCGACAAAATATGCATTTCATGATCAGATTCGCCGCCAACTTTCTCTGCCTTACCTTTATCAGCACCGCCTGCAGCCTTCCTTTTCCTCCCAGCGGCGGTTGGCGGCTTTGGCGGTGGCGGTGGCGGTGCCATTGGAGTTGACACTTGAACATCTTTCGCCACCTCATCCTCCGGCTCCGGGCTATTTATATTGATGAAATCCATCATCCTCCTATCCAAATGTTCTTTAGTAATTCCTTCTGTGTTACCTGGAATTGGAAAATCCCATAAATCATCATCCCATAAGAATCTCTCATTTCCATTTCCTCCTTCAGACATGGCTAGGTTGATCAAAAAAGAAAGAAATTAGAAACTTATTTACTACTGAGTTTTTGTGAGTAGGCGCCTGATAGTATAAATAGAGGAAGAGGAGTGGTGAGGTGAGGTGTGGTAGGGATGGGGATAGGGGTGGGGTGGTGGGGTACTACACAGGAAGGAGGAAGAAATGTGGGGGTTACAAAGGGAAAGTTGGTGAACTTATTTGCTTGTACAAAGCGCTTATAGATGTACCCACGCCAGATGAACATTGTTTACTTGTTTAGTGAAGGAAACAAATTTACATATTTGGACTCAAGTGGACATGGATTATAAGTTCTCTTAGTACTTACCATATTCAAGTACTTTAAAAAATTAAAACAAATATTGAGATAGTTAAATTATTACACGTGTTGATGATTACCGTTGTTTTAAATGCAATCGACATCTTTGTTACTTTTTTTGTCAGAATTTGATGATGCATCTATCTAATAGCGTGTTCTTATCTCGTGATTGCACTAACGGTCTCATCATTGAGGAGCTAAACACGAGCATTATATTTAAATGTAATGATTCACTATAATACAAGGATTATCACTTTACTTTGTATAAAATGTGATTAGTTTTACCGTTCTACTTGAATAGTGCGTATTTCTCGCTATTTGCGGATTGTTGTACAGATTAATCATCGTGACCTATATATTTCATCCTTTTTCGATGCGTGTAACTCTTCATGCTTTATATGTGAAAATTCCAAAAAATTAATGTTAGTGTAACATTTAGAGTGTGTTTGGTACACATTTTTTTGAAAGAATGTATTATTGAATAATAGATTGATAGAGAATGTGTGGTTAAAAATGAAAGAAAATTTATTGATGTGATATAAAATATTATTTTATTGAAGAACGTGTGGTTGAAAATGAGTAGAAGAATGAGAATGAAAAAANGAAGAATGAGAATAAAAAAAATAATGTGTACCAAACAGGGCCTTAGAAAAGTAGCAAGTACAAATATAACCTTTTTTGTTACAGTTAAATCCCTAAACTTGTACTTCATAGCACTTAGCCCTGAATTGATAGGAATTAAAATCAGATTTTTAGTAGATTTGATAGATATTGTGAAGTGTGTGATTGAAAAGTTGTGAGACCCATAAAATATGTAGTTAAAATTAATTGTTGACTTTGGCTTAAATTAAAATTTAGATTTTAATTCCTACCAAACATGGGTTTAGTATTGCGTCATGATAGAAATGGTCTATTTGATAGTCAAAATAAGAAAATCATTAATCTTTTCATTTTGTTTTTCCTTTGTTTTTTTGGACACGGCAAAAGACCTTTGCAGAAAATGCAAAAATCGATCGTTAAATATTACTCCCACATATTCAATATTTTTGAGAAGTAAAATAAACGAACACTTCATACCTCAACCCCAGTCCTTACTATTTCTCAATGAGCAAATGGATCGTCCCCATCCAGCAAAGACTTCGAAAATGAAAGATCGAGAATTTACTCGCACAACTCAAATAGGTTGGGGACCTCGTCTAAAACTTCCCTCAAATAATTCGGATGTGTTGATATATTAGGCAACAACAATATCTAAAGTTGGGACTTATATCTTCTATATGTAACTAGGAGCATGTCTTGTCTGATTTTGTAAATAATCGAGTTTTAATTTTTATTTGGTAAAGTCGAAAATAAGTAAATCATAAATAAAATTAATGATTTATATAGTTAACTTCTTTTATTTATTTCTTTAAAGCCCCTTCAAAATTTCGTCTAGGACCCCAAATTGTTGAATGGTAATTTCAAAGTGCAATGGAAGCTTTAAGTTCCCCTGAATCTATCATTATTTCAAAATTATTATTTTTTAAATTCATTTTTAATTATATATTCTCATTATAAAATATTTTACGCGTAAATTCATCTTTTTAATTATGTATTTTTAAAATTTTCATTATTTAAATATTTATTTTTTGTTGAGTCACGGTAGATAAACTGGGTCTAAATTGCTGGGGGTATTGCTGTCTTTGGCGTGACGTATTCTGAATTTCTGATGGAAATTGTCTGATCTGGAAACTTTTTGGATTAATTTAAGCTCTTTATGGTAATGCTTGCGTTTCAGTAATGATGATAAAATGTCCATTTGTGGGTTTTCGAACTTCTTCAACTACAACTGAGTATGGCCCACAACAACCCCATAGTATGCTCATTACGATTTACGTAGCTTACATGCAAGAAAAATGGGCCCACCTACTATGGTGGGCAATTTCTTTTTCTTTCTTTTCTTTTTTTTTTTTTGGGAAAAAGGGAAAGATAAGTTTATCATTTAAAATTAGAATATTTTTTTCTTTTTTCTTTGTTCGAAATCGCGGATCAATTAGGAAATTTAATTGTTTTCTTCGTAATTGACATCATATTCATCTTGGTAATTGACAAGTTTAATAATTTTTTGATCAACTCGCCTAATACCAATTAGGTGTAATAGCTATACTTTATGAGCGTGTTCGATACAGATTAAAATCGGATTAAAATTGAAAAATTAGTCGTTATTGTTGACTTTTATTAGATGAGTGGAACTCAATAACAACTATATTTTCAATTTTAATTGGATTTTAATCACTCTCAAACATGCTCTATAATTGATTTTGAATGTGAACTTGATCAAATTACGATTAAAAAAATTGGCATTGATGTGCTAGTTTGACACGGCCTGCCTTTACCAAGAAGCTTATTGTGCTTGTTTCAGAAACCCTCAACCCACACACATAATGCTTATAATTGTTTTTTTTTTTGGTTAAACATGTGACAAAAAAAATTTAGTGGGGAAGCCTCCTGCAATTAGGGGTGGTAAAAGGGCCGAGAAACTCGTCGGCATGGGCGGCTCGGGCTCATTTCGGGACGAGCCCAAGCCTCAGCTGACCAGGGGGTGTGGGCTCGAAAAATGTGAGCAAAAATGTCAATTTTTTTTTTTAAAACTCGAGTTCACGGGCTCGGCTCGGCTCGGCTCGGCTCGGCTTATCTCATTAGCTCACGAGCTCGTGGGTCGAGTCGCACGATCAGAGTGACAAGCCGAGCTCGTGGGTGTGACGTTCCCCCTTAATGTAATTAATATTTATTATTATAAAAAAAATTCTTATTATCTTTTTATTCTATTATATTATTATTTTTGAATCGTTTTAGGATTTAAAAGTTTATACTTAGACGTATCAAAATATATCATAAAAATTACATTAATAATATAAAGAGTTTTAAAAATCGTCAAACTTATATTATAACCAAAAGAGGGCTTGCTTTACAAAATACAGTAAATGAGTTAGTTATATGACCATTTAAAAATTCCAGTCAAAAGAAATGCCTGCTAACTTTCAAAAACATTCCATATATCTAATCTACAGCAGGCTAATAGGACGGTATACCCATGTCAGCTAACTCATGCCATATTTATTATATTCTTTTACCATTTTTCATCGTCCTACTTTACATCACTATCTATTCTACAGAGAGCATAGTATTTACATATTGCCTTGTGATCAGGTCATACACATCAACCATTACCAACATAAAATCCTTATACTTTTCAAAAGTTTCAATACCTTCATTCTCGTCAACAACCAATAAAAGCGTGTGTAGTGAGTGCGCCTATATATAACATGTATAGCCGTTAGATTTTCAATAATTTCGACATGTCTGGTAGTTCGGATAACCTCAGTTGCTTGCGGAGCCATCTACAATACAAAATACAAAGCGTGAACAATAAAGTTCAGTAAATATGATGGTGCAATGATGTCACTCAAACACATTTGGGCCCGAATCCTCATTATAATGTACCGTGTGAGCTCACAATAACATAGCATTTACTTATGCACAAATCAATGCCAAGTCATCCGTCCTTGCCCACCGAGACTCAGGATACCCCATCAGAATATATATAATATGAATTAAGGCCTGGCCCCGTGCCTATCCGCAATCCCAAGGCCACCAAGGGACCTCCTGACACCGCCTGTATACAAGTGTCGAACTCCAAATACCCTATCCTTGGCTACACTTAGTGACCGTCAGGAGCCTCAAAGTGGTATATTTATTCGGATACCATAGTACGGTACATCTATAATGGGATTCACATTTAAAATTTTCAACCATACACTCCATGAAAATGATAACATAAATATGCATGGTCTTGAAAACGTACTATCCATACGTTTTCTAAATAAACCCAATAAACAATTGTCACATAAAGACAATAAACACATAACTCCACACATTTCACGTATTTTGTACTGAAGTTGAAGAACATCCATATTTACCTTTTTCGCGACCTTCTTGCTCAATATCTGCATTAATAAAGTAACCTTCATATTAATCCTAACTTATCATGTTATTTCCATGTTATCAAATCTAAACTAAACTTATAAGATGATATACTTTACTTAATAGAATACCCCTTATAGCAATACTAATAATGATCTTACTTTATTACCAATAACCTAAATGAAATTTTCTTTGTTGTTATAAAAGAAATTCCATAACTTCTAAAATAAAATTAATACATATAGATATCATGCTAGCAATACACTACCATATTAATTTTCATTTCATGTTTGGTCCATTTTTCATTTCATGTATCACACAAGTGTGTGTGTGTGTGTGTGTGTGTACCAATACCTACTAATTAATTTCTTATCAAATCCATATATTATAATATTTTACTTCTCATCTTATCATGTCACCAAATCAAAATAATTTAAGTTTAAGCCTCAAATGCTAAATGTTATCTCCAATTGACCATATCCACATATATACATATATTAGTGGCCCAATTTCCATCACCAATATTATGATGATATTAATAATTATTATGGTAAATCAGTTTTTTTATCCCTACTTTCTTTCTCCTTTAATTACTTCCATCCATTTTTTTTTTCAATATCATCATTTTACTATCTTTTTCCCCAAATCTCTTTCACACAATCCTCGATTTAATTAATTAAATTTAACCCCAATTTTATCTTCCTTCGATTATCAAGAAACCCTAAAACAAGAATTTTAAATTCTCACTCATGAATCAATTAAGTACTTAAACAATTAGTTAAATTATTATCTAAAGAAATAATTAATTAACTCAACAATTAACTAAACAATTAGCTAATTAATTAACTTATAAGAAATTGTTGTACCAAACAGTTGATTAATTATATTATTAACTAAATAAATAAATAATTAACTCAACAATTAGCTAAATAATTAATTAAATAATTAACCAACTAATTAAATTATGTAAGGAAAGGAAAAGTTAAAAATATACCTTAAATGGAAAGAGGAATGGACGTGCCCCACATCCTCAAATCACCCAATATTTATAGTGTAGGAAAATGGTTTAAAGGAGAAATTGCACTTTAACCCTTGAGGTAAGTATGCAAATTTCCTTATTTACTTATAAAATTGCACTTTAATCCTTAGGTGAATATAAAATTACACATTTTTTAATTGAAATTGCTCATTCCATACCCATAATACTATGTTACTTATAATTTCTATATAATTTATTATATTAATTCAATTAAGTTCCTAAATTTTTATTTTATTTTTAAATCCTTTCTAAAATATTAAAATTTTTGCTAGAAAATTCTGGAATGTCACAGTGGGCTTGGCCCATTGTCGCCGCTATCTGTAACCCAATGTGGTAAAACATGGGCCCTATAGTATTGGGCCAACTTTTTAAATTTGAAATGGAGAGTCCAGTAAAAAACTTCCATCAAGACAAAGATTTGTCTATACAACCTACTTAATAAATAGGGAACAATACATAAATCAGGTTTTTAAGTATCACCATTTCAAATTTAAGGTTAGAGGTTTTAAAATTCAAAAATCAGGTTTTCATTAAAATTTATTTGTGAATTAATTAATTAATTATATGTTTTATTGATAAATATATAAAGGTCACAGATCTATTATATTTGGTCACAAATAAAAAATTTAAGGTCACGATTCAAAAATTTTATAGGTCACAGTTCGTTCATCGATCACAAATTAAAAATTTAAAAGTCACAAATTGCTCATCAGTCACAAATTACAAAATTTATAAGTCATACAACTTATTTTATGGTCACAAAACATAAATTATAGGTCACAAATTAATAAATTTGTAGGTCACACAATATTTATTGATCACAATTTATTCTTTATTGGTCACACACCAACCAATTTATTGGTCACAATCAACAAACCATC